TCAGCCACCACGGACATTTATCACCACGGACCTCCCAGCTTGTCTCTATCACTGTTGCTTTTGGACGGGGTTGCCACAGTTTTGGACAGCAGTGAAAAATGAGTTCTTACACGGCATGAGTTACCTAGGGCTCTAGATAGGAACTAAGGCTGCCCCAAAGAAATGCAGACGTGCATCGGGCTGAGCTGCTGCAGGGCAAGCAAAGAGCACAGAAAAAAAAAATAGTGTCCAGCGCACGCCGAGAGCAACGCAGGTCATAAATCCAGCGGCAAAACGGAGCTGCCAACCAGCAAAGGAAAATCAAAGGTGTGAAAATCTGCCGAGAACCACAGGAAAATGAGCCCAGGTGGGTCCTGGAGCAGGGATGAAGGAGCAGGCGCCGCGAGCGCCGCTGTCCTGCGGGCGCAGAGGGCTGGGCTGCCCCCCTGCTGCAGCCGCCCAAACCACCAGATTCGGGACTCGGAGGAGCAGCCGACGCGGGAGCAGGGCCTCGGGGCAGAGAAGTGTGTGCGACTGCTGTGATAGTGATCGTGATGTCGCTGCTGCCGAGATCTCCTTGGAGAGGAGAGCTCAGCTACGACGTTGTTAACTTTTTGCAATAACAAAAGTCCAACCAAGACCAATGCTCAAGTCAGACTGCCGAGACCTCAGCTACAGCGGCAGCCCGGGGACAAGGAGCGCTCCTGCCATCGCCCAAAACAACTGCCCAACCCTGCCGACTGCCCTGGGTTTCCAAGGGGATATCCCGGCCCTGAGCAGCTGCTGGCTGCGCTGGGACAGGAAGAACGTCCTGGCTGCCTGGGCCGGGCGGCAGCTCCCTCTGAACGTCTCCGTGGGCCCAGGAAAGGCGGGAGGAAGCCGGCCGGCTTCCCGCGCGGAAAACCCGTGCGGCGCTCACCTGCCGATGATGTGAGCGTCTCCCGTCTCCACAGTCAGCTGGGAGTTTATTGCTTCAAAACTCGAGTTCTCCAGCAGCTTCATCGTTTTCGCTTGCGGCTCTGGAACAACTCACTGCACAACGGCTGCTGCACAGGCTGCAGCTCCTAGCAGAGGCATCAACAAACAGGAGATAATGAGGGATCAGGCGGGACCAAGCCGCTCCGTGAGGCTCCTGTGCAGGGGCGG